GACAGTGCCCACTCCCTCAGCATTGACCCTCCGACAGTGCAGCGCTCCCTCAGCACTGACCCTCCGACAATGCCCACTCCCTCAGCACTGACCCTCCGACAGTGCCCACTCCCTCAGCACTTACCCTCCGACAGTGCGGCACTCCCTCAGCACTGACCCTCTGACAGTGGGTTGTTCTTTCACCTGTCTCTTGTATAAATGTTTGAATTTTTGTTCAAGACTTTGGTCCCGTCTTCAAGACCAGTGACCCCGAAAAGTTTATTGAGAAGTTGGAATCACTCCGAGCTGATGGGGGGGGCGATATTCCAGAAATGTCCCTGTCTGCTCTCCAGGTAGGTCAGATTAACCCTTCTGTGTGTGTGTGTGTGCGTGTGTGTGTGAGTGTTTTTGTGTACATGTGTGGGATGCCATACTCCAGTGAGAATCACAGTGTGTGTGGGTGAGGTATCTCGAAGCCTGAGTTTAATCTCGCTCCAATTATTTCTCTCCCTCTCTAGCTGGCCCTCACCAGTACCCCTCCACTCTCCTTTATTTACGTCTTCACTGATGCCCCAGCCAAGGACTTCAGCCTGAAGAACACTATTGTGGGCCTGATAGAACACACCAAATGTACGGTGAGTGTGGTCTGACCATGCAGGATCCTGCTCCCACGTGAGTCTGGGTTGGATAGATCTAGCACTGAGATCCTCTCTTTGGGAGATTGTATTATCTACCCAGCCATTAATGTATAGTCCTGAGAGGAGGATACATTGGGGACATTCAAGCGACTCTTGGATAGGCACATGGAGGATAGTAAAATGTAGGGTATGCAGGGTAGATTGATCTTAGTAGGATATTAGGTCGGCACAACATCGTGGGCCGTAGGGCCTGTACTGTGCTGGACTGTTCTATGTTCTATGTTCTATGTTCTATGTTCTATGTTCTATATTCTATGTTCTATGTTCTATGTTCAGGAAGAGGGATTATAAAAAGCTTAAAATTGATCCATGGCTTAACAAGGGCTTATACAATGAATGGTAAGGCCTTGGGTAGTGTTGTAGAACAGAGGATCTGGGGGATCCGGTACATAATTCTTAGAAGTTTGTGTCACACATAGACAGGGTGGTTAAGAAGGCGTTTAGCACGCTTACCTTCATTGCTCAGACCTTTGAGTATAGGAGTTGGGGACATCATGTTGAGGTTGTACAGGACGTTGGTGAGGCCTCTTCTGGAGCACTGTGTCCAGTTCTGGTCGCCCAGTTATAGGAAGGATATTATTAAACTTGAGGGAGTTCGGAAGAGATTTACCAGGATGTTGCCAAGCATCAAAGATTTGAGTTATAAGGAGAGGCTGGATAGGCTGGGAATTTGTTCACTGGAGGGTAGGAGGTTGAGAGGTGACCTTACAGAGGTTTATAAAATCATGAGGGATATAGATAAGGTGACTAGCAGGTGTCTTTTCCCTAGGGCGGGGGATTTCAAGACTAGGGGACACATTTTTAAGGTGAGAGGACGAGATTGAAAAAAGACATTATTCCACAGAGGGTGGTCCGTGTGTGGAATGAACTTCCTGAGGAAGTGGTGGATGGGGGTACAGTTACAACGTTTAAAAGACGTTTGGATAACGACATGGATAGGAAAGGTTTGGAGGGATATGGGCCAGGAGCAGGCAGGTGGGGCTAGTTTAGTTTGTGATTATGGTCAGTGTGGACTGGTTGGGCCGAAGGGGCTGTTTCCGTGCTGTACGACTCCATAAGTCAAGGGTAACAGAAAGGCAAAAACTCAGCCATATCACACTGCGAAAGTTAGTGGTGCTCTGCAGGAATGGGAGAACTTTAAACATTAGCAATGGGTTACTTATAAATAAACAAGAAAGGCTAAGATGAATTACGAAAGGAAACTTGCAGAACACCTCAGCACTGATGCCAAAAACTTCAGTAAGTTTATAAAAAGCGAACAATGAAAGTAAATGTTGGCCCGTTACAGGATGAAAATAGCGAAGTAATAATGGGAAACTGAAATGGCAGAGGCACTGAGAACCAATACTTTGTCTCTGCTTTCACAGTGGAAACTAATTTCTCTCTCTCTCTCCGTCCCCTTTCTCTCTCCCCCTTCTCACTCCCCCTCCCTCTATGCCTCCCCCACTCTCTCTTTCACCCTCTCTCTCCACCCCCATCCTCCTCTCTCTCTCCCCCCTCTCTCCCTCTCTCCTGGCCCTTGGCCGTCCCTCTGTTTCTCTCTCTACGCCATCCTCTCCCTCTCTCTCTCTCTCCCCCTCCCCCTTTATCTCTCTACCCCCTTCACTCACTCTGTCCCCTATCTCTCCCTTCCTTGCTCCCCACTCTGTCTCACTCTCTCTCTCTCCCCCTTTATCTCTCTACCCCTCTCACACTCCCTGTCCCCTATCTCTCCCCTTCTTCGCTCCCCACTCTGTCTCACTCTCTCTCTCTCCCTCCCCCTTTATCTCTCTACCCCTCTCACTCCCTCTGTCCCCTATCTCTCCCCCTTCTCCTCTCCCAATCTGTCTCACTCTCTCTCTCTCCCTCCCCCTTTATCTCTCTACCCCTCTCACTCTCTTTGTCCCCTATCTGTTCCCCTTCTCCTCTCTCCCCACTCTCTCCCCGCTCTGTCTCACTCTCCCTCTCCCCTTGTTCGTAGGTCTCCTTCCTGCTGACCAACGCGCTAACCGGGAGGCGCAGGCGAGCCACTGATGAGTTTGGGAATCAATTATACCAGGACCTAGCCCACAGGTCAGGAGGCCTGGCGGTGGTCACCCAGAAACAGGAGATTTCGGAGCTGACCTCCATCATTGAGGATATGGCACACCCAGACTTGGTAACAGTAACTGGGCCTGACCGGCTTTGTGGGGGGTGGGGGCGGGTGTGGGGACGGGGTGTGGGTGGCACGGAGAGCAGTGTCATCCCAAAGGCCACAATCCCACTCCCAGTGTCAACTCTCTCTCTCCGTCTCAGTGGGGGAGTGGGGTGGGGGGTGGGTGGAATGGAGCGGGGAGGGCCGAAGGAAGGGTAGGGGAAGACGTCGGGGCAGAGAGGAGGGGCAGGAGAGTGGCGGAGGGGGCGGGTGTGGAGCGCGGGAGGAAGGATGGGCATGAGAGGGATCTCGCGTTACACCCAATGGTGAGCCCTCACCAGCCCGAATAGCAATGCCTGAAGAAATGGAGCTTTGGGAGAGGACGATAGCAGGGGTGGGGGGGGGGGGGGGTGTGGAGTAGATTTGGGAAGGGGTTGGGGTGAGGGGAGGGAGAGGCTGACATGTGGGAGTGGGGCAGGGGGTCGAGGGACAGAGGTCAGGGCTGACCCCCGGGCAGGGTGTGGGGTCAGAGGTCAGAGATCACAGGCCGGCTGTGTCCTCCCTCAGGTCACTCTACTGCAGCGGGACAACAACCAGGGTTACAGCAACAACGTCTTCACTTTCCCAGTGGACACCACCCTCAGGAATGTCACCATCTACATTTCCGGAAGGCCAGCAACGTTCCGGCTATCCCGCCCGGGAGGTAAAGGTCAGTACACCCCGTCCCTACCCCTGTACCCCCCC